AGGAATACCGAAATAAAACAAATAAAACTCAGCCCTTGGTGGGAGGGCAGCAGTCTGTGCAAATGGGAATGATGGGAGCTGGACCTCAACAAAGTCCACTTCGGCCCCCACCTTCACCCATCCATACTCCTCAGAGTCCAATGATGTCACCGTCACCCTCGCTGCAGCAGCAGCAGCAACAACAACAACCTCAAAACTCACCATTGGTACAGCAGCAGCAGCTGTCGCCTATGGTTCAGCAGCAGCAGCTTTCACCTATGATACAGCAGCAGCCATCACCATCTCCTCAGGCCCTTCAGAGCCCTAGCCCTATGATAGGCGCTCAGAGCCCTGGTCCTAACTCAATGGGGAATATGATGCAACAGTCACCAGGCAATCCTGCTGGCATGTCTCCTCATAGTCTGCAACCTTCTCCTCGCATTGGCACGCCTCACTCTCAGGTAACGTCTTGGATTTTAGTGTGTATGTTCTTGTCCCTATGTGTGTACTTTACTCACTCCTTCTCATTTACAGGCTGATGACAGTCCATTCAGTCCAGGCGGCGGACATCCTGCCCCCTCTCCAAGTCAGCAGGTTTGTCCACCACCCCCGTCGCCTATTGGTCACCGGCTAGCCTCTCCACAACATCGGCCTCAGGTTCCTATGCCCAGGCAGATGGCCGTGTACGCAACAAATCCTCAACAGTTCCAGTCTGATCAGCCCGTGAGGTAAATCACAGTTAAAGTTGAAATGCTACACCCTGCATTATGCATCTTTATTTTGCCCGACGATTTTCATTGTCTTTCTATCCTTTACAGGTTGCCTCAACGATTTGTAAGAGCACCGGGCCCTCAAAATCAAAACCCACAGGGCGTTCAAAGAATCCAGGTCAATCAAGGACAGATAGTCCAGCAACAAGTGATGCAACCCGGTGGTCAACCCATGCAGCAGGGGCAAGTACTTCAGCAGCCCCAAGGACCTCAGTTAGTGCAACAAAACCAAATGGTTCAAAGTCAGATGATGCCACAAGGCCAAATGGTCCAGCAAAGCCAAATTTCCCAACAAAATCAAATGGTTCAGCAAGGGCAGATGGTGCAACAAGGACAAATTGTTCAAGGACAAATGATACAGCAGGGCCAAGTGGTCCATCAGAATCAGATGGTGCAACAAAATCAGATGGTGCAACAGAATCAAATGGTGCAACAAAATCAACTGGTACAACAGAATCAGCTGGCACAACAGAATCAGCTGGCACAACAAAATCAAATGGCGCAACAAAACCAATTGGTGCAACAAAACCAAGTTGTACAACAAAATCAAATGGTGCAACAAAATCAAATGATTCAACAAAATCCAATGGTTCAACAAAATCAAATGGTTCAACAAAATCAAATGGTCCAGCAAAACCAAATGGTTCAGCAAAACCAAATGGTCCCTCAAAATCAAATAGGCCAGCAAAATCAAATGGTCCAGCAAAACCAAATGAAATGGTCCAGCAAAACCAAATGGTTCAGCAAAACCAAATGGTCCCTCAAAATCAAATAGGCCAGCAAAATCAAATGGTCCAGCAAAACCAAATGCTCCAGCAAAACCAAATGGCCCAACAGGGACAAATTGTACAACAGACTCCAATAACTCAGCCGAATTCTATTGGCCAACAAGGTCAAGTACTTCAACAAGGACAAGTAATTCAAGGACAGATGGTTCAGGGACAGGTAGTGCAGCAGGGCCAGGTGGTGCAACAGCAGCAAGGCCAGGTCATGCAGCAGAGGACACCTGAACAAATTCAAAGGTTACGTCAGCAACAGGCCTTGCAGCAGCAACAACTTAGTCAGGTCCAGTTGCATCCCCAGCAAATGGTTCGGCAAGTTGTTCAGGGTCCTAATGGACCCATCTTCCAAATTCAACAGTTTGGTTCACTATCAATTCAACAACAGAATATGATGAGACAGCAGCTAGCAGCAAGACAACAGCAGCAATTAAAGCTTCAGCAGCAACAGCAACAACAGCAACAGCAAGGGCAACCTGGACAGCCCGGTCAACCTGTGCAGCCTGGACAACAAGTCAGGCTTATGTCACCACAACAGCAGCAGCCGCTAAATCCTCAGCAGCAGCAGCAGCAACAACAACTTCTGCAGCAGCAGCGACAAATATTGCAGCAAAGACAACTACAGCTTCAGCTTCAGCAGCAACAACAGCAGCAACAACAACAGCAGCAGCAACAGCAACAACAGCAACAACAAGGTGTTCAGCAACAACCAGTAGTCCAACAACAGTCCGATCAGAGTCAACTCGAAAGTCAACCTCAGACTCAACAGCAATTACTCCAAAGACAACAACAAATGCAACAACAGCAACAGATGCAACAACAACATCTGCAGTATGCTCAGCAACGTCAGATGTTAATACAGCAGCAACAGAGGCAACAGATGCAACAGCAGGGTGGCCAGCCTGACAACTCTCCGCTACAGCAGCCTGACAGGAGCCCCTCTGTCCCTGCGGCCTCGCCTGCCATGGCTCCAAGCGCCAGTCCTCACCACCTACCCCCTAGCTCGCCTATGTCGCAGCCCATGCCTGGCCAGTTCGGGGCGCCACAGCCGCCGTCTCCTCATGTGCAGTCTGCCTCGCAGAGCCCCAGGCCGCCTCCCAGCCCTCATGTCACCATGGGCCACCCGCCGTCCCCCATGATCCCAATGCCGCCGAGGAGCCCCATGGTGTCGAACCAAACGCAGAACCCTCTGGGGTCTCCTATGGGCTCGCCCATGGCGGTGCGCAGGCCCTCCAGCACGGGCGGCAGCATGGCTAGCAGCCCCGCGGTGCCCGATCGGCCTCTGAGTGTCGAGAACCCTCGCACCCCTCTTGGGCTCCAGGAGCAGGGCGGCCCCGGGCCCGCGGACCCGTCCCAAGCCCCGATGCAGGCGCCCTTGCAGGGCCAGGGTGGCGGGGGTGGCGGTAACAACCCCATGGCGCCCATCCCTCTGCCTCCGGGACTGTTCGACGCTTTCGGCAACGTGAGGCTCGGACTGCGCGGAGGATCACCGATGTTCTCCATGAGACAACAGCAACAGAGCAAGCCAGACCCAGAGAAGAAGCAACCTGTGCTCGTTGGATGTAGCAGCACCGGGACCAACCCTCGCCATGCGTCGTTAGTGGCTTCTGATTATAATTATTCAGATGATGATACCTTAGCCTCTCCTGCGAGATCCCCTGATGCTGAATCCAAGAGAGCCGGTAGTTCTGAGGACAAATTGGGAGACAGCTCAAAGAATGATACAAGTTTACTCTGCTCAACTACTGAGACCAGCAGTCTACTTCCATGTGTCACTCCCAAGCTGGACCCCCTCTCGGCTATCCCTAAAATTGATGCTGACTTGCCAGAAATTTTACTTGAAGATGATGCTGCAGAGTCTCCTCCACCACCACCTACCGAAAGCATAGACCTAGTGGCAGAAGTTGCAAAAGCTGCTTCTGCAAATAGACTCGCAGAGGATGAGGACAGTACAGATATGACTGTTATGATGACTGATAATTTGACTGAAGAAGAAGTTGGAATGATAATTGGCATTCCCAATCCTGTAGAAGTAGGGGAAAAGTCATCTCCGAAACCTTCATCTAACACCGCGGATGATGACTTAATGAAGGAAACTGTTGAGCCAAAGAAAACCCTTGGAGAGAGTGGAAGCAAAGTTACTGACCAAGAAGCACACTCCACTGGTTACTCTCCTTCACAGGCAGCCGCTTCAGTTAGTAGCGAAGTGGAACCACCATCGGGTGCAAATGATTCTTTGCAAATTTCAATAGAAGCTATTGCTGATGCCTCTGTAGGCAAATCTGTGACTCCCAGCAAAAGTCAACCTGTAGCAGATGTTGTTTCTGCATCTCGTGTTGGAGTGACTACTCAAAGAGTTCATCTTCAGCACGCACCTGCCTTAGTGCCTGTCATTACAAATGCGCCAAGAGTTCTCACTCCTGTCTCTTCTGGACACAGTGGGGCTCGACCAGGAGCGCCACGAGTAGCTGGTCCAAGATTGATGACAGCAGTGGTGGGTACAGCTGGTGGAGATGTGTACAAGCTAACTCAAGCACAACTATCAAACTCTGTGGTGATAACATCCCCTCGCAAAGTGAATCCTGAGGACATTCAAGGCTCGCCCATCAAGACTGCCCAAGATATCCAGAGCCCTTCTAAACAAAAGTCTCCTGCACATCTCTCAAAGCAAACACCTGTTTTAATTTTACGCCCTAATCCGGGTGTTATTCCTCAGCAGACACCAATTCAAGTGTTGCAGAAAGCTCCTGTGCACTTTCTTCAGCAGCAAGTGCCTGGTGGCCGTATTCCAAAGCAAATACTTGTTCAGATTCCCAAATCACAGCATGCAACTCAAATGCAGATAGGGTCCAAACAACTTCCTGTTTTAGTAGCTCAAGCGCAGCCTCCTGCTGTTCCCAGCTCCACTGCAGCATCGTCAGCAGTCTCAGCAGCAGCATCAGCAGCTGCTGCTGCTCAGCCATCCAGTTCTTCAGCAGAAACTGGAAAAAATTCATCACCCGGTACAGTTCAGATGACCGAGCAGGAGTCTATCAATCTCCTGGAAAAGACAACTGTACAAATTCTTCAACCCACTGCTGCTAGTAAGAAGTATGAAGCCCTGCTTGAAGCTATGGAGCGAATTCATGAGGGTACTGATAGTTCCAGCCTTCCAGATAGTTTGGAACTCCAAAGCCCCATAGATTCTGAAATAGAGCAAGATCACTCATCATTGCCTCTGCAGTCTACCCAGCTTAATCAAACATCACAGCAATCACAGCAGAGATCCATGCCTACTCAGTCCACTCAGGTTACACAGCCTGGGCATTCTACTCAACAAGCTCATTCAAAGCAATCAACCGCAACTAAACAGCAAGTACAGTCAGCTCAACGTACTTCATCTGAAGCCAAACAACAGTCAGAATCAGCCAAACAATCAACCAGTTCTGACTCAAAGATAAAAAGTCAAGGTGAGCAGGTGTTTGAGGGTTTAGGGAAAACTCTACTACAAGTCTCACTGTCTCAATCTGACCAGAAGTCTCGTGTGATTATGCATCCACCCACAACTACCCAGTCACCATCATCATTTGTAAGTGGATCTCCTAAACTGGCTTCATTGTTGGGGGCACCAACAGAATCTGTCAAAACATCAGTTAAAAGGGAGCTGTTACCAGATTTGAGTGAGAAAACTGAGGGCGAGGATAAACTTATCTCAGAGAACAAAAGTCAGAATCCTTCAAGTGAACGCGATCAATTGCTATCAATTCTTCAAGACCCGCCTGCCAGTGAATTACCTGTTCGTACAGTTTCACCCTCCCCAGCTCGTGTAAATGAGGCAAAGCCAAGTCTTGAATCAGATCTTACATCATTAGATGAAAAGTCCATTGATGACAAACCTGCAACTGTAAGTGGAAGAAGATCATCACAAGACATAACTATAACATCAGCAGCTGATTCTGATTCGACTCTAACTGCTATGACACTTCCTCCTAATATCAGACAAATTACAAGCACCATTTACTCTCAGAGTTCTGCTGAAAGGAGATCACCAAATCGTCCACAAAGTCAACCTAGCCCTGCTGTGTCCAGCCTTCAAACAACTCAACTGTCTCGAACAAATGTGCTAGCGCTGAGTGCTTCAGCTCCTGGTAGCCCTGTTCCAGAACAGCCTGATTCTTCCAAACAACCGACTGCTAAACCTACTGCATGGAATGGTGACAAAAAAACTGATATTGATTTGAAATCATCAGATCAAGTTGGTGCTGTTCAAAGTAGTCCAAGCAAAAAATCATCAAGATCTCTCAGTACATCAGCGCTTCCCTCTAGTGAAGACGCGTCCTCATCTACAACTCCATTGAAATCATTACCTGGTCCTAAACTTGAGAGTAAACCCAGTTTGCTGCAGGCTCAACTTATGGCGGGATCAGCAAAACTGAAAGAGGCAGTGCCAATTGGACCACCACCACCTTACCCAGGAACTGTCAAGGAAGATGTCTCTAAAAACCAAACTATTCCTGTATCGGAACCTTCAATGCAACCCACAAATATCAAGAATGAGCCAATGGATTTGGATGAAGATGTGTCACAGTCTTCCTCTGCAATTAATGTTGCTTCACTTTTGCAACCTAAAGAAGAAAAGGATGAAACATTAAAGCTTCTTTGTCAGCCTACATCAGAATCACAGAATGTGTTATTAAAGCAATTGCTTCAGAACACTGCATGTGCCTCTCCCTCTCAAACATCAAAAGAGGTTGGAAGTCTTTCATCTAGCTTACCGGAAGTACCATCCCTCGAGGCTCAGCTGGCTAGGCCTGTTCCTCCCACTCCATCAGCTCTCATTCCACCTCTACTGACCAATGATGCTCCACCAAGGCCTAGCCCAGTTACTGTGAGGTCGATCACACCTTCGAAGTCTTCGATCCCTGCTCAGAGCATAGCAGGTGTGGGCACTGCTGGTCCTCCACCAACAACCAGTGGATCTGGATCTGCCAGCACTGCTCTGATTTCTACACCATCAAGCACAGTGATGACATCTTCCCCACTTAGCCAGGTCATGTCAGTAGTTTCTGTTCCTGGTGGACCAGTTAATCCTGCGTCAGTTCCAGGAGGAAGCTTAGGAAGCAGTGATGGAACCTCATCAGCTGGAACTTCTTTACAACCAAATGTGTCATCAACAGCCATCAGGTTTGTCTTTTTGTCTTTTCTGATTCTTAATTCCCTCTTTTTTAGAGTATGAATAACACAATTTTGATATTTTACAGGCAACCAACACCACCAACCACTGTGGCCACATCTAAAACAAATGTCAGTAGCTCTTCCACTGTGCAGAGTGTTTCCAGCACTACCACTGCAGCTGAAGGAGAAACTCGCTCATTGCCTCGTGCTGTGACTCCACTTCAAAACCAAGACATGGGTATAACGCAGCAACCCATTCCTGAAATGATATCAACTAGTGTACCTGCAAGTGTCCACGCTAGTGTGCCTGCAAGTCTGGCCACAGTTGTTTCCTCAAGTGGGCCCACAACTGCGCTCACAACTGTGCCTACATCTGGGCCTACGAGTGTTCCCACGAGTCATCCCTCAAGTGTGTCTCCAAGTGCTTCTACAAATGTGCCTACAAGCATTCCCACAAGTATCCCATTAAGTGTACCAACAAGCACGCCTACAATCCTGGGTGCTCAAACAAGTGTTCCCACAAGTGTGCCTACAAGTCTGACCTCAGTTGTTTCCTCAAGTGTGCCCACCAGCATACCCTCAGGCATACCCTCAGGCATACCCTCAAGTGTGCCCTCAAGTGTGCCCTCAAGTGTGCCCTCAAGTGTGCCCTCAAGTGTGCCCTCAAGCGTGCCTTTAAGCGTGCCCTCAAGCATGCCCTCAAGCGTGCCCTCAAGCGTGCCCTCAAGCGTGCCATCAAGCGTGCCCTCAAGTGTTCCGACAAGTGCACCCACAAATATGCCTACAACCATGCCACCAAATATGCCACCACTAGGTGTTCGAATTCCTGGTCCTCCTGTATCTCATCCTTCAGGAATGCAAACCCTGGTTCGCTTACCTCAAGGGCAGCCAGGGATGGTTGGTATTCAGGCTCAAAGCTCAATGCCACCTGGTGTGATGCAGCCACCTGGCCTACATGTACCCGGGCTACAAATTCAACAAGGATTACCTGGCCAACCAAGAATGCAAGTTCTTCCACCTGGTGTGTCAAAAGTGGGCCAGACAACATCTTACATGCAGCAGCAAGGTCCGCTGCAAGGGACTCCAGGTGCACCTCACATGGGCCATACACAGGTAAGAACAAATAAATTTTCCAGCTGCTAGATAAATTTTACTCTTAGTTGTTTTGAACAGAACAGTATACTTATTGTCTCTCTTTACAGGTTTTGAGTAGACCAGTGCATTTAAATCAAGGTGCTGGCATGCCAGGCATGCTAGCTCAGAGTCAAATGGGAGCCTCAATCATTAAGAGAGAGATGACAGATTTTGAATCACCTTCTACTTCAACTTCTTCTGCTCCGATGGACATGGCCAGTCAAAAGGCAGCACAAGAACAAGCTGCAGAAATGAAGAAAATGAAGCGTCGGTTGTATCAGCAAAAAAGAAGGCAAAACAAAGGAAATGAAGCTGGGAGTTTCCCAGGAAGGAAGCGTGTGCGGCGGGTAAGTAACTTTTTCTTTTTTTACTTTACACATCATCTTATT